TTTTTTTTTTTTTTTTGGTGAGGCAATTGGGGTTAAGGGACTTGCCCAGAGTCACACAGCTAGTAAGTGTCATGTGTCTGAGGTCAGATTTGAACTCAGGTCCTCCTGAGGCTGGTGCTTTATCCACTGTGCTCCCTAGCTGTCCCCAAAAGTTTATTTTTTACAGCCTGTTTCCTTTGGTTGATCACACCAAAAGAAAAGGCACAGGTTGAGAGAAATGATTATTAATAACCAATATTTTGTGGAGATTCAGAGCTCTCCCCTTCTTCCAAATTCCTGGTTTTAAAAAGGTCAGTCTCTTGAAGGACAGTACTGATAATGAGATTGAATTAAAGCTTCTCCATCTTGGTCAGACCCCACCCAACCTTACAAGGAAATATACCCCACTGTGTTCTACTCAGGTTACTTGGATGGAGACATATCCTTTTGTAGATAGCCCAAGGCTGGGGGTGGTCTGAGTATAGAGATATTTTCTCTGTCCAAGGGTGACATGATGTCACTCCCAGCCCCTCATTGAACACCTACTACTCTTTGAAGGGTATATAAACCTGAGCCTACCATCAGGATTGTCTTTGGTCTAAGAGAGACAGCCAAATGACCATCCTTTTACAGATAACCTGCTGGCCTTATTAATAAAATTATTAAGTTTCCCAAAACCATGCCTCTCAAACCATTTTAATCATCACAAGGTAAAACACCTGGTAGCTACGTGTCACCACAAAGCACAGATAGCATAATACAGACACAACAGTCCCTTGTACAAGCAGGCCCTTTTAGGAGCCACAGACCTGTCCCATAGTTTTATTCTTAGTTTCTCCAATGTAGAAAGAAAGGAGAAGTTACAGCTGTCAAGGTGACCTGCTTTCTAGTGGTACAAATCACTCTCCCTCTTTTACCTTCTTCAATAGGAACTTTTTCTTTTTCTTCAGCTAAAAACTACAGTACACAGTCAACTTTAAATCCACAAGGAAATAGGTACGCTTTAGCCAAATCTCCCTCCCTAGTTTCCCCTGAAAGCTAAGTCCCAACAGAGACTGGGTAAGACTGAAAAGTTTCAAACGTTGTGAAGATGAAGGTTTAGGAATATCAATGGCTCTTTCTGCCCTAGACTGGTTCTGGGAGATTACTCAATAAAATTCCATAACTTTCTAAGGAATCCAAAGTTCCATGCTTTGGCCAAAACAGTCCCCTGAACTCTGTATTGCTAAACCCAAGGCTTGCACGGCTCACCTTCTACCTTCTCTTAGTTATCCCTTGCTGGACAGGGAACTCACCATTGTCCCAAAAATTTGAAATCCTCTGTCCCCTCAGCTCCTGAGTAGGACTTTTAAGTCATGGTGGTTTTTTCCTGCTTTGAAATCTCTCTCTGAGAATGTGAAGAGGCAGAAGGGCTCACTTTACAAGCACCTGTAATACTTGCTCTGGGACCCAGGTGTCCTGACTCCCTGGCCTCAGCCCTCCCAGAGGACCCACTTTTCTTCCAGTGAGAGATTGTCCCTTAGGGACACAGACTCTAGTAGTGCGCAAATGTTTCCCGGTTGGAGGAGAAAGACACATTGGGGTGGGTAAGCCTGGGGTCCAGTCTACAGGGAGGATGGGGACACCTGCCTGGTGGGAAGTGGGGGAGGGAAATGGTTGGGAGAATCAGGAGGGAGGGAGGCTCTGGGTGTCCTAGTTTGGAAGATGATGAGTGTAGCAAGGGGAGAGCTGGAAGAAGGCCAGGGGAGTCTGCTGAGAAGGAGGAGGGTCTGAGCCCCAGAGCAGGGGGAGGGAGGGAGGATTCTCAGCAGACCAGACTGGTTGGAGGCCCAGGTGGAATCTGAGTCCTGCTGTGGAGTTTGGAGGCCTGGGAGGAGTCTAGAGTGAATGAGGGTTATCGCAGTGGCCAAGGCATTCCATGTGATGGAGGGCAGGGCTTGGGGAGGGGAGGCAGGC